GAGGAACTCGTGGCCAAGTCCGTGGCGGCATTTACCGCAGGACACCTTAAAGGCATCAGGCTGATTGCGCTCGGGCCGCTTGGCCACGCTCTCATCGAGGATGGTCTCCGTGAGGGCTGGCCACAGCGACGAGTGCTGGTACTTGGAGCGGCTGGAGAACAGCTCGGAGCCGTACTTGGCACACACGCAGACAGCGGGTTCAAAGTGATTCTGGAAAACCTGGCCCGGAGAAGCTGCAGTGCCCCCAGGTTCCCGTCCCGCTCTCACTCCGACAGCTCCCAGTGCACCGACCCCACCGCACAGATCTTATTTTGAAGAGGGAAAAAAACGGGCAAAAACACCCGGCAGGCCGGATAAATGTCCTCGGGGAGCCTTAGTTTGAGGACGCTGCTCTAGGCCAGGGAAGATCTGCCTCTGTGGGTTTCTGAGACTGTAACTACCATCAGAGAAAGCTTCGTGTGGCAAGCCCCTTCCAGAAGGTTACCACCCTAGCAACCTTATGAGGCAGTTCCACTGTCCTATAGGGGTGGCTCCACAGCACGCACACCATAGAAAGCTGAGGGAACAGGGTCACAGGGCACAACAGGCTGGTGGAACCCCAAGCGTGGGCTACTGTTTTCTTGGGGAGCCTGTAAAATGAAGATGGTGATTCAAGTCTTTTTTCATTTAACTGTTGTTGGGGAAAAAAGTAGGTAACAAGGAGTCTGAAGGCAGGTAGGAAATGCTAAGTGTATGTCTGACCGAACATTGGGTTGCCTGGCCCATTTTACAGATGAAGAAACTAAGGCTCAGAGACAAATCATTGAAATGAGACTTGAATCTCCCCGTCACTGAGATCTTGAGACTACAGGAAATCTGGTGCTGTCCTGCCTTAGTGCCAAGGGGGAGAGGGTTGGTCTCTAAAGTGGCCTTCTGGTTCCTTGGTCCCCTCAGACCTCACGGACTGCAGGTGACCTGGAAGGATGTGGAAGGGCAACACCTGTCTCAAAGTGTAACATTCCTGCAAATTGGCAGTGCCCAAGGTGTGTATGTGGCGGGGGGTTGGGGATGGCATGAGTCGAGAGGGGGTCTCAGTGGGTGAGAGAGCCTATAGCCCGGTGTGGGGGAAGAGCCACTGACTGGGACAAAACAAGAGGGGACTGGAGTGCGGGGTACAGATAGTGCATAGACACATGTGCAGAGTGCTTTTACCTAACAAGTCTCTCCTGAGCACCTGATGCTAGCCAGGCACTGTGCCAGGGTTAGTGATATAAACAGGCAAAGCTTCCTGATCTTGGCCCTGAGGTGCTTTTCAAGGTTGAAATCGGGCAAGCACTGGAGTCTACTCCCAGAGGGTCTGGTGAGTGACCACCAGTCATCTCCCCGCCCCCCTTGAACAGGACCCTCGGCCTTTGTTTCCCTTGGGGAAGGGCAGGATGGGGCAATCCTGTGGTGGTGGGGCAGCTCTTACGTCAGCTGATGCAACTGGGGCCACTCCTTGGGTGTGCAGGTGACCCAGGAGAGGGCGGGCCAACGGGCAGCAGCTTCAGGAAGCACTCACAGGGTGTTGTCAGCAGCAGGGGTATTCTTTCTGGCTAAGAGGTGAACAGAGAGTAGGGACTGCCCTTGTCCCTGCCAGATGCATGGCAAATGTTGGCTGTGAGGGGCACACTGGCCCTTCCAGGAAGGTGGCCAGTATGGTTAGAAATCATAGGCACAGCTTACCTGCTTGACCCAGAAGATAGCCTGCCCCTCTACCCATTGATGGAAGCAGGTAGAGGGTCTGGGGAGGGTGCGCCCTTCTGGTCTCCACTACTTACGTGCCCAGCTCCAAGATTTCACCTCCTCTCCCCAGCCTTCTCTCTTTTACGGCAAACTCAGTTCACATCCTTGTGCTTCCAGACCTCTAATTCCAGTTGCCAAATATCACAACCCCTAAAGGAGCCCTAGTGGCTCAGTGGGTTATGTGTATGGTCAACAGTAGACGGGACTTCCGACTCCTGTAAAGAGAAACCCACAGGGGCAGTTCTACCCTGTCCTATAGGGTCACTATGAATCAGAATTGACTTGAAGACAGTGAGTAAAAGGCCTGGTGGCGCTGTAGAGTAAGTGTTGGATACTAACCACAAGGTTAGTGGTTCAAACCTACCAGCCACTCTGCAGGAGAAAGATGAGGCTGTCTGCTCCAGTAAAGATCTACAGCCTCGGAAACTCTATGGTGTTGCTGCGAGTCAGAATGAACTTGGTGGCAGTGGTGAGAGAGCAGACAGGTGAAAGGGCTCAAGCTCTCTTCCACTGCTGCCCTCTGGGGGCGGGAGGCAGCCTACAGCATACACCTGTTGGCTCCATGTTGCTTCCTCCTCTCCCTCACTTCTCACGCCCGCCTGGTAGAAGACTCTGGAGGTGGAGAGGTTACCGGTGAGGCAGCAGTTTAAAAGCACCAGCAGCTCTGTGGGAGAAAGCCTAGGCTTCCTACTCCCGTAATGAGTCAGTCTCTGAAACCCACAGGGGCAGTTCTGCCCTGTCCTACAGTCGCTGTGAGTTGGAATCGCCTCGATGGCAGGGAGTTCTTGAGGATATTTCACTTCTGCCAGTTAAGGGTGGGAGGCAGCCCAAGACCAACACTTGCTTTCTTTGCTGCCCTCCTTCGCATGTCCATCAGTGAATCCTACTAACTGTGCCCCCAGAGTGAATCTTATCCTCATTGCTGCTAAACATGGACCATTGCAAAAAGCTCTAACTAGCTTTCTGCATCTATCTATCCCACGCCACCTCCGTCCAACCTACGGTGATCTTCTTAGGAACTAAAGATGACCAGGTGACCCCACAGCCCTGCATTCAGAACCCTTCAGTGGTTTGCCAGCGCCCTGGAGGAAGATCTGCATGTGTGGGGAATGCTCCACCCCTCGCCTGGGTCTGCCCTTCATGTCCGTAACTTCCAGCTGTGAGCAGCTGCAGGCACTGAGCCCACAGACCCGACACACTTCCCTGCCTCCTGCGAGGAGCACTGCGCAGCTACAGCTGCTTGGAGCCTGCTCCTCCCACTCTCCTGGGAGCACACTGATGCCGTATGGGTCTGCGTGCTCTCTGCACCAAGCGCAGTTTGCCGAAGGGCTGAGAGGGTGGGTGGCAGATGTCTTTTCTGCAGACCCCTGGGCTGTGACAGTATCTCCTGGGGAGCCCCAGGCCCGCACCCTTCACCATCCCTCCAGACACCAATGCATCGGTGACAGTGGCCAAGCGACCCCTGCGGAAGCTAAATCCAACAGGAACCAAATCGGTCACTTACTCTGTGTCTCTTTCAGTAACCTCGGAGGCAATGTCATCAATGAGGTGGTCCTGAATTTGCTTAAGTCCGGACAGCCGCGGGAAGAGATCACGCTGGAGCAGCTGGTGCCGGGCCTCCAGGCTGAGATTGCAGAGTCCACAGGTAGCGAGCCCCAGCCGAGCGGACACCAAGGCTCTGGTGACTGCCGGGGCTGGAGTATGGCATGCTTAAGACGCCGTACGGTCATCTCCCATTGTCAGCTTTGGGGAGGCACAAACTTTGCTCCCCGGGGCTGGCTTTCCCAAGGTCTCAACTACCGTACTTTCCTGAAAATGCTATAAAGGAAGTGGCGTTAACCCTGGACATACAAGGGAGCTTCAGGAAGTTCATGGAAAAAAATCCCACTAGCTTGTAGTTCCATTTTTCCACAAACTTTTTGAAGTCTCCCCCAACACCAAGTGGACCCTGAAGCCTGTTATGAGGAGCCTCATGGTGAGACCCTCACATTATCAGTGCCACCCCCCCCACCCCCGTGGTGGACACTGACAGTTATCAAGGCACACCGTCCCTCAGAAGACCGAGCTTCCTAGTCCTAGGCACACCTCAGTCAGCTCTCCCACAACTAGCATGCGTGCCAACCTTCCCCACCTCTGCGATGCCTTAAAGCTCAGTTGGGTTCGGCCCCCAAGGCCAGGCAGCATGTAACTTTTGCTTTTGCTTTTCAGACAGTGGCTTTGGCCACAGCCGTCTTGTGCAGGAGAAGCTGATCGACTTCTTCGTCCCCTTCCTCCCGCTGGAGTACCGCCACGTGAAGCTGTGTGCCCGCGATGCTTTCCGGAGCCAGGAGCTGCTGTACACAGAGGCGGCCCTGGAGGAAATGGCCAGGATGATGGTGTACGTCCCCAAGGAGGAGCAGCTCTTCTCTTCTCAGGGCTGCAAGTCGATTGCCCAGAGGATTCACTACCTCCTGCCTTGAGGGCTAGGGGAAGATTTCCAAGGGGGGCTTCTGCTAGCAGGATGCTGGGTCCTGTCGGGCACTCATTGGGGCCGCAGGGGTGAAGGGCAGGCTGGCATCCAGAAGGCTGTCACTCAGAATGAGAGCCAATCCCAGGAACCACTTGGTGCCTTCAAGCCCCACATTCTAGTGGGGTTCAGGGGTGGAGAAAGCCCCGCTGGTCTCCAGACTGGTGTCCTTGGCACCCCCGAGCTGTGGGCGTGATCTTCCAGGTAGGGCACTGGAAGATGAAGCTCCCATGGCCACAGACGTGGATCAGCTTTCAAGCTGTCCCTCCCAAAGGAAAGCTGCTGAGCCACCTTCTGGGGGCAGAGCAGCCCAGAGCTTCGGGATGAAGTGCACAGGTGGATTTTAACTTTAAAATCTTAACTAAGGTAGTTTCTGTTTCCAGATCTAAAAAATATATATATATCCCAAATCAGGGACCTAGACATGATTCCATCTGTAAAGATTAAACTTTTGTATTTTTCTAAAACCCTTGGCCTACTTTTCTTACGGAGCAAGTGCCCATGCTCAGAGCCCCGCTGCGCCCTGAGTGGCAGGTAAGGTCGATGGGGACTGCAGGAGATGAGCTAAGGGGGTGACTGCCCACTCTGTTGGGTCTGGGATCCTCTCACCTGGACTGAGAGAGTTTTCCACGGTGTAGTCCTCACTCCATGCACCCGGCATGCATGGGCTGCATGCATGGGCTGGCAGGGTGCCAATGGGGCAAGCATTAGTGTCCCTGCCCCGCCACTGCTACTCCTCGCTAGCCAGATCTGGAGGAACACGTTGACCCTCTTGTCATTTCAAGCATCCCTGTTCTCCGACCCTCTCCGCTTTCCCAGCCATTGCTGTCGGGTAATTGATTCACGGGGACCCTACCCTGCCCAAAGGTCCCCAGACTGTTACATAAAGGAGCCCTGGGGACATCATTAGGGTTGGACTGCTAACTGCAAGGTCTGGAGTTCAAAACCAGCAGCCGCTCGTCAGGAGGAAGATGAAGCTTTCTACTCTTGTGAAGAGCTGGTCTGGGAAACCCGCAGGGGCAGTTCTACCGTCCTATAGGGTCACTATGCGTCAGCATCACTGGATGGCAGGGCGTTTTTAATTGTCAAAGAAATCTTTCTGCTGTGCGCTGATGGCCACGCCTGTCACCTTTAGCCCTATACTATGGGTCAGTGCCCCAGCCCTGCCCCAAGTCACCCTTAGTGGTGCTCCTCTGCCAGGACTGGCCCTGGCTTCGAGAGAACCTAGCTCGAAGTGCATTAGGTCATTGATAGCCACATAAGCCTTGAGAGGAGCTTCCCATTCCCGCACTCAAAGGGCACGGTATGGGGTGCTGGGCTGCAGGCTTGCTGGCACTGTCTACAGCAGCAGTTCTCAACCTTCTTAGCGCCGCAGCGACCTTTTAATACAGTTCCTCATGTGGTGGTGACCCCCTCCCCCCAACCATACAGTTCCTCATGTGGTGGTGACCCCCCCCAACCATAAAATTGCTTTCATTGCTACTTCAAAACTGTCATGTTGCTATTGTTATGAATCGGGCGACCCTGTGAAAAGGTCGTTCGACCCCCCCAAAGGGGTCAGGACGCACAGGTTGAGAACCACTGGTCTAGAGACTCTTGGGAGGGCCATGCTGGCCTTCCGACCCAGTTATGTGCCCAGCCCTAAGCTCTGTGCGCACCCTTTAAAAGGCGCGCCGAGCAGCCGCCAGGACGCTTCACCGGCTATCCGTGCTTGATGGGCGTGGTCTGAAGCACCCTAGGGGCTGAGGCCGGCAGGATTGATTTTGAGCGCTGTCTGCGGACTGCCGGCCTACACGGACTCATGCCTCCACCTGCGACCACGGTTGCTGTAAGCTTAGTCTGTCTGCGCTTGAGCAAATAGGAGCTGGATGAAATGCGTCATCTTCAGAAAGTGCTCAGAGCGCGGTGCCTCGGGTTTTAGTTTAAGAAAAATAAAATGAATCCAACGAAATTCTAATGGGCTTTGGCACTACCCTCAAAGCCCCGGCTGGGACTTGTCTTCCATGCCTAGCTCCTGGAACCCTGGTTGCTGGAAGGTTCCCAATTCACTTGAGGAACGGAAGACTTGGGAACCTGTGCCATGCATGTGCTCCGCACTCGACAGGGGTTGTCTCCTGGCAGAAGCCGCTAGCTCCAGGACTCAGGCACCTGTTTCGCAGTTGTCACGAAGCCAATCAGTAGTAGTATGGCTCTAGCTCCTCAGCTCCCAACCACCAGAGCTTCCAGAACCACCATCCTGGGAAATCCCACAGCTTCAGGCGTGGAAAAGACAGAAAGATCATAAGGGGGTGGGGCACGCTCTTCTCGGAAGATTCCAAAAATAAGATTTCGTAAACCAAAAAAATGGGGTGGGGGGTAGGCCAAAAGGAGTGAAGCTGGGGTGTAAGGTGTAGGAGGGAGCTTCCAAAAGCTGGCAGGGGAATGGAATGAAAAGATAAATGGATTAACCAACTTTTGGAAGCCCCTTGTATAAGCTGATGCTTCACAGCTGTCCTGAGTCCAGGTGTGTGCCATTATGTATATTTTAGTCATACCGAATTAAGCTTACTGCTAAAAGCAAGGGCACGTTTGAGAAAAGAAAAGGAACACCACGTCAAACAATAGAATGTTCCTTTGAGGCCCCATACTTACTGTTGTAAAGCTCCTTTGGGCCAAAGGTGACCAGATTTAGAGCGGGACACCACTGACCAGGGGGTGGGGGTGGGGTTCTTGATTAAAAATTTGGTCTATATGTACCAAACAGACTGTTCCTTAGCTTGTCGTGCATTCTTTCCAAAAATCAGGACTTTTTTGAAACGCCAAAAATCGGGGCTGTCCCGCCAAAAGCGGGATGTCCGGTCACCTGACTTGGCTCAAAGCATTTCCAGACCTTAGCTGAAATTGTCCTGAGGCTAGATTTTAAGGTATGGCCAGTCTGCAGTCACGTGCCCTGCCCACCTGAACTCCAGCTGGGTCCTTCTGGCCCAAAGGCTGAGTACTCACCCCACAGAGGTCGTTCTTAAGGCTGTGCCAGAGGGAAGCTTCCACGACTGAGTTCTTGACCTTCGAGACATCCACTGCATTCAGAGCAAGAGGGAAAGTCTGCTGATTCCCTGGCAATCAATGCTGCGGGGAAGCACTCCAGTCTCAAGCTTACTTTGCCAATAAAATACTGCAAACTTTATTTCAAACAAAACACAAGTTGGCAAACCTTGTGAGCCGACAGGCGACAGCAGTCCCGTTCAAGGGCCTCATTTATTTACATCAAGTTTAACACTGTTAGCAGTTCACAGTCAGACAACAGAGTGAGAGAATTAAATTAGAAAAACAAGACAACTGAAAATATATTACAGTAACAATTAGAACAAAAACCTGACGACACTGGTAGTGTGATCCATGATGGGTGTATTTTCAATTAAATCCCACTGTCTTCGCCTGTTCCCTTGGTGGCACCCATGCTGGGGCCTCCAGCTCTCACCCTCCGAGCACCACGCACACCTGCAGAGCGGGACCTTTGGTGTCAACGTGAAACGCATTTGAGTGAATCTGTCAATGTTATGTTTTTGGACCAACTTCTGTCAGCTACAGGGAGTGTCCAAACTAAATTCTTTAGCCAGGTGGGGAGGTTTCTCCACAGGCAGTCATTACGGAATCAGGGATGGCCGAGAAGGGAAGGGGTTCTGGAGTGGGGGTTAACAGCTGTGTGCAGGCTTGGGATCACAGCACTGCTGCTGTTCACTATTGGGAGAGCCTACTCACCCATATTTCATGTGCTCCCCTCTGTTCTTGAGACGAAAACAACGCATGTACGCTTATGGACAGAAACATACCCACCAAGGAACTGAGGGAGCACCTCACTGTCCTTCCTCCTTTCTGAACTCCTATTTTCCCAAAGGACAATCAGCCTAACCAAGGTGATGCTTTCTGAAGAGCTTGGAAAACTCCTCTTACAATGAAAAAGAGCAGTGGTTGTGGAGGAAAACGATTTGTCCAAAGAGAAGATAGCTGTGTATCTGGTCCTCATCTACCAGAAACATCTGCCCCTTGGCCTCCTTCCCACCTGCGCAATGGAGAATGGGACTTCTGAATTGTACAGAGTATGTGGGGGACATATTGGGGGCCCCAATGCATTGCACGATCTGGCGATAGCTTCTGGATCAAAGAATGAATTTTGTTTGGTAAATCTGTACATTATTTTTATTGTTTTATAACTGCTGGAAATGAAGTGTCCACATACGTAAAAACGCCTCATTAACCAGAAATCCCTCTCCAACCAGTTTATGATGCTTACTTTTGGAACTCCTCTCGAATCTTAGAAGCAAATCTGAGTTCCAAGCACACAAAGCCCCCCTTTTTTTAATGCCTACCTGTCCCCACCTCCACTTTGGGGCGGGAGGGAGCTAACGTCCTGAGACCCCCGGGTCCTGGTGTGTTGCTCGGGAGTGTGGCGTGGGAGGGAGGACCCTGAAACGTGCTGTGATTAGCACAATGAAGAATCTCTTCAGAGCAGAGACGGAGGACATGGACCCAGATTCTGCCCCAAGCTGGGAGGGTCTGAGGGCAATGTAGTGTAACTAAAGTGGATAGTGTTTCTTCCTAAATGACCTGTAGGTTTGAAGACCCACTTGACACGTTGTTACCTGTGGCTGAGTTAACGAGCTTTGTTACTGGTATTCAGAATATAATTTTCTATAAAACGGAACATACAGCTCAGGTAGGTGGCCTGAGTTGCTGTCTTCTGGACAGCACAGCACACTGCAGCATGGGAGCGCGGCGGGTGGGCTGGCTGGCTGGTGTTCACAGGCAGTCCCCAGGGGCCCTGTGATACAGGCGGGAGAAACTGCAGTGAAGTTCTTGGCCCTGAGGGCGGAGGGATCAGCCACTGCCCCTCCGGGCACTGCCGGCCTGCCTCAGAAAGAGAAGCATGAGGCCTGCACTCAATTTCCAGAAGGCCCATGGTTGGAACTCTAGTCAAAGGTGTTCATCTCCTAGCTGTGAAGTGTCTTGGAACCAGCCAGGGGTCCCTAGACAATTTCAGTAAGGGGAGTAACAATTTCCCTGTCTTGACAAAGAAGGCAGAGGTCGCCTTGGGGTAACCTCCACAGGCCCCTCGGCCCCAAATGGAACCAGGGATCACGCAGGGCTGAGCTACAGGCTTGACAGAAAACTAGGGCAGAGATACAGACAGCTGGAGTGTGTCAACATACAGGTGAGGAAATGTCAGCCCAGAGACCCCACTAACTTGGTCAGAACAGCTGCTGGGGCAGAGGTGGCCCCTCAACCTGGATTGAGCAAGATGAAGCCCCCAAATCATCATCGAGAGACATCCATGCCGGCCCGCCGGCCGTTCTCCGACGGTGGCACGGCCTGCGTGGGGCACCGACCTTAGCAGCAAGCGTGGAAGGGTCAGAGCAGCACACCAGCTCTCAGGGGTGCTGCAGAGTCTACAGTGGGCTGTGCTCGGCTACTCTTGTTGTTAAGAAATGCAGAGAAATGAGAAATACCAAGCTCATTTATAACTGGAAGGAAGCTCCCAAAGTGCACAGGTCCTACAGCCATCTCACCCCTTAACCGTTCTCCCCACTAAAAAAAAGTAAAGTTACTTTGCAGGACACAGGTTACCAGACACTCAACACCAACAGGAAACAAGTCGGGTAGGCCACGTCTGGATGACTCAGTAGTGGGGCAGACGGTGGACAAATGCTCAGGAGAGGGCCACACCCTTCTTGGGACAAGGTCCCTGAAGAGCTTCTCCATTCTGAAAGGTCTGAAACCACACACCTGGTCCCTAGTTTTCTGAAGTTAGCCAGCTCTGAGGGGTAACTTAAGCAAGCCACCGTCCACACCTGCACGCGTTCCCTCATTCTGACCGTGATCGGTGGCGGAGGTGATTCACCATAGAGATGCATTCTCAGGTCCCTCACAGGTCAGAGCCTGTAGGCCTGGCAGCATCTCATGAACCATTTTCTCTTCTAAACAGGCATAAATACAACAACCTTTGAGCTATATTACATTGGATATTTTCTCAAAGTGCTTTCATATACATTATCAAATAGTCATTAGAATCGTACTGAATGATAGATTTTTTTAAGTAAAAGGAATGTAGGCATTGTTTTTAAAAACTCCGTTGGTATTTCCTGACTACACCATGCAGATTGCTTACAATTTATTTTTTAACTACTGAGCACTACTTAATGCCTGGCCCATGTTGCCACTGCTCCACATTCAAGCCCCTCCTGGCCAGAGCGCGCCCAGAGCATGTGCCTTCAGAAAGTGTGCTGCAGCGAGCATGCAGACCGATTGTCTATCGGAGCAGTGTCTGCTTGCCAGGAAGCAGGGAGGGTGCAAAGACCTCATCACCAGGAAGTCGAGACCCAAATTCACACCCTGGCTGTCACTGACTGAAGGCTGTCAAATAATGGGCAAGTAAGTGAACCATTGTCTCTTCTTGTAGCTGAATCTGCAGAGAGAAAGACTAGCGTGTGGAGAGCCCTCAGACACAGCTGGGAGTAAGGAACATAAGTGGGGTGGGGGTTTCTTGGAAACACAATGGTGGAAACCCTACCTCTTGGGAATTGTGATATTGGAAGTGAAGCCAATGACCGGTTTTTCAGAAGCCCTCTAGGGCACTGTGCTTTGTGCACACTCCTCGCTGCCTGGCACTGGAGTGGGTGCTGGTCACAGCAGTAGTCGTCGCCGTCGCAGTTAGTAGTAGCTAACATCTATGAAGTGCTCACTGGGTACCAGGCACTTGAGCTAAGTAGCTTACAAACATTATCTCACTGAATCCTTTTAACAGCCCTATGAGGTAGTTACCGTTGTTACCCCTGTGTCACAGAGGAAACGGGGGCTCAGAGAGGTCAGATGACTTGCCTTCAGGCTGGCTTGAGAGCCTGCACTCTGAACCGCAACCGACAGTGCATCTTTACCATTCAAAAGCGTCATGATTTTAGTTTAATAGACAGGGGCTGTGCCTTAGCAAAGTCAGAAAGCTTCATTCACTGGGGACTGTCTTTCAACTGAACTGCATGAAATGTCTAATTTCAACCCCAATATACGGAGGTCCTTTGGAACAACACTTAGGGCTTGTTTTTTGTTTTGTACATTTTTTTAAGGCTTCATCTTTGAAAATAATGATGGAAGTCTTCGGGAAAATATTTCCATTTTAATTTTACACAAAGCCTTTTAAGAAAATATTTCATGTAGAAAACAATGTTTTCTACACAAAACACTGGTTTTTAAAGTAAGAAATCTCGGCTGAAATTACATTACCTGCATACAAAAGGATTTATGCTGTGGTAGCTCAAAGGTGCGCATCTATGTGACACGTGGTAGAAGAGTTTCGTGGTTTTTCATTTTTCTTTTCTTCCTGCTATCTGCTTGACTTTTAAACATTGTAATTTGCTTAGCTTTTTCAATTGGTCCTTTTCAAGTAGGAAAAGGAAAACCCGAAATGCGCTTACAGTATGTTGACAGTGCCGCTTGACCTGGAACCCTGAGCCCTCAGTCCCTGGGACTGCACAGGGCAAGCCTCCTGCAGGGTTGGGGGTGTGCTACCGTAGGCCATGTTGAGTATTGACAGTGTGGAGAGAAAACATGTCCCACCGCGTACTTTACTTGTGCACCCACCGTAGCAAGACCAGCCAGCTGCTGCCCTGAGTACGACACAGCCCCACGGCTTGAGACTGTTCTGCAGTAAGAAAACCAGGGAGCTTAAATGCACTCAATCGTGTTTCTCCACCGCTTATTTTCAACACTCGCAAGGAAAAAATAGCTTCCTTGCTTTAAAAAATGATAAAAACAACAACAAAAAACAACCCAGAAAAACAATTATAATCCCTCAATGCATCCCACAATGATAGGAATAAACTTAAAAAGCAGCATCTTAACATTAGAAAGTTTTAGGTACACCCCCACCCCCTCTTTAAAAGGCTAATTACTAAAACAGTTTCAAGTTTATCAAAGTGTGTGATGAGGCGGCATGACAGGGAAGATGGCAGGAGGAGGGCTGCTGACTTTTCAGTCCAAGTCTATGGGAATTCTACCTTCTCTCCTAACCACTAAGTTGCCTGTGCTGCCTCTGTAGGTAACATATTGACAGGAATCGCCCAACACCTGCAAGAACTGCCAGTACTGCCTCCTCCCTCCTGTCCACCTCTTACCTTGGGCCTCCAGGTAAGATTTGGTAAGAATGAGCAGCAATGATAAGAATCAAGGTTACCTTTCTTTCTAATGGAAATGAAATGTCCTCCTTGGTCAAAGGCAACAAAGCTTATCCTCAACATAGCCCCCCACCCAGGTGGTGGTGGTAGGTGCTGTTGACTCGATCCCAACTTCTGGTGTGCCCTCTCGTGCAGAGCAGATCCCAACTTCTGGTGTGCCCTCTCGTGCAGAGCAGAGCTGCCCCATAGGGTATTCTAGCACAGTTACTAGACATTTCACTAATACCTGTTACTGAGCACTGGAGAGAATAAACAACCGTTCAGACTAACAAGACTGCACTCAAGAGCTTTCCAGAGAGGATCGCTCTCCTAGGAATAGCTGTGCACTTACTTATTTGCAAAACGCTCTTGAGAACATGTATCATTACCTTCTTTTCAGAGATTAAGAGATGAGGCTGTGGCTTGACAGTGGATCAATGGCAGAGCCAGGGAGAAAACCCAGTGTTCATTAACGCTGAATTCCTACCTTCCTAAGTTCATATTCCTTTGGGAAGAAAAATTGAAATATTATGTACTGGGCTCTCTTGGTTGGTGTGTGTGTGTGTCATAAAACTTTCACGGAAGACAAGTGGTGATTGGGATAAACCTAATACTAGGATATTGACATCTAACCCATTAGTACTGTCATTAGAAATGACAACGGACAAAACATAAATTGAGGGTTACGTCATTGAGTTTCTGGGGTCTGGTTGGTGCTCCCTGCAACTGTCGTGTTTCAGTTATAATTCTTAAAATAAAGGGGAATTACAAAATAAATACCAAAGCCTGTCCCTGATGCGATCTTGACAAAAAAGCACAGAGGTGAGGAGGGGAAATGTGAGAGGGACGCATGCAATAACCAGGTGGGGCCATTCTACTGGACATCCAGAGCGAGGGAGACAGTGGCCCCTTCCACTCTCTAACTAGATTGGCTCAAAGGTGGGTTGTGAGAGGGGAACGGCAACAAGAAACAGCCAGTAGGACCAAGCCAGCTTCTTCTCCCAGCCCGGGGCCTCTGAGCCTGGCAGTTTGGATCTCAACAAGAGGCTCCCACCTTGATAGTTTAATTGTTCGGCATGCAGCTGTTGGAATCCTTGGACAGTATGTCAGAATACAGGGGCACACTCCTGGGAGGATTTGTACGTGACCAGTTTCCAAAATCAATCCTGGGTAATGCCCCAAAGGCTGCCGGCAACAAAGGAAGTTAGCCTTCCCAGCAGGGGGTGAAGAAGAGTCAGTATGGAGAGCCAAGAGATCCCTGTGCTTCTGGCTTGTCAGTGGGCACCCAAAAGCAGAAAGCCATCGGGGTCCATTAGGAAGTAATGCTCAGAGTAGAAGTGACCTCAGCTGATCAATTCAGGATTTTGGGAAGAGGCTTTTGAGCTCCCTGATTAAACTTCCCAGCATTCTTTATTTGCCCACTGTGTATTTTAGTCATTTGATTTGGTGTTCTTACTACAATGGCAACGACCTTGTGGAGGCAAGGCCAATAGCTACTTCCACAACACGAACCCAACGTCTCTTGGTACTTTTCCAGCCTGCCTTTGCCCTGACCCAATAGATTCACTAGGTGAGTTGGTACTTCCTCACCCTTAGTACCCAGGTCAACTCCTTCATGTGTGGACCAGAACTGGTGTCGCAGCCCTGCTGCGTTCAGCCACACCTAGCCGCCTCATGTCACCTCAGGTAAGAAACTGGCTGACTTTATTTGTGGCACGACATTCGCCAAGTTCCCTGATTCTCCTGTGCAACTTGCAGCCCTGACAATGACTGGTCTGCTTCAACCTCATTTTCCTTTCCTGTACTTTGTAGCTTGCTTTTTGATATTTCTGAGATGACCCTGTAAACGTGAGAACTCAGCGATCTGAGGTACTTCACATAAACACACTCAATTATCAGTCTTTCATTTTGTTGAAAACAAGAACACAGGAAAAGAAGTCCCCCTGCCCTCTCCCTCAGAAGATATGCATCTCCCCACTCAACGCCCAGTGGCTACCTCTGCACCACATCACTGATTTCCTGTACACATGACAATAAATTATTAAGGACAGGGTTTGCCCCGGGTCCCCCAGCAGCGGCTGACGACACCTGCAGCTCCTGCAGGCTGAGTTCCAGTTTGCTCACGGCTTCTCGGAAGGCAAATTTGTTGCGGGTTTGAGGGATGCAGTCCACGTAGCCTGAGCAGTAGTCGAGCAGCTGGTGTCCAGTGTCCACCAGCTGGCTGTTGGGCACAGGTTCCGTGACTGCGCTGGACAGTAGGTCAGCACATGCCAGCAGGGCCTCTTTGCTGATTTTGTCTGCTGAGATTTTCTCAGCTGCCTGTTTGGTTTTTCTCAAAGCCACTTTAGTACCTGCTGTGCCGTTGGCCATTTTGGCTGGCGAGATGGAAGCTGTGGGCAGAGGCACTTGAGGGGGAGGCACTGCTGGCCTCCCAGCTTTCCCACTGATGGGTACGGCCCCGGGCACTGCCTTTTTCCCACCATCCTGGGTTTCTGGTGCGGGCTGTGCTGCCGCAGGAGTACTCGGCTCTTCTGGAGGGTCTGAGACCGTGGACGGATGCTGCAGTAGTCGCATGACTGGTGGGGGTGGCGGGGCACACTTTGGTTTTACCCGTCGGGGTCGGTCCTTGTCTCCAGGGGCTGAGACCTGATGCTCGGATAAGAGCTTAAACTTGTTCCCCTGAGAGTCTGTGCCGATGAGCTGCACGTCTGCTGGAGTGTGTTTCAGAGTGGGGGAGATCAGGACGGGCACTTTGTGGTTGTGAGTGGTTGGCAGGACTGCCGCCCCCTTGGCTGGAGATGACCACCCTGGCTGTTCTCCATCTTCTGGAACTCCAGCCATCCCAAGCCGGCTCCCACCATTCCTCTCCTTGCTCTTGGGGGCAGCCGCCACTCCCGCCACCCCCAGCCCCGGAGAGTCCTTCTCTGGACCGGCTGGTTCCCCAGAGGCAGTTCTGAGAGGGAGCGCTGTGGCCCCTCTGGGCAGGAGTTTGGCTTTTGGTCTCTCCCTGGCTGGAGCAGCACCTTCCTCCGACTTTTTGGGAAGCAAGTCATTGGACCTACCCACATTCTCTTCTGGCTGAGAGGAGGCAGACACTGTCCTTTCCAGCTGGAGTTTGGCCCTCTGGCAGTTCCTGGGGAGAGTCATAGCCATCCTATCCTGCTCTGGAAGCCCTGAGGACACGGAAGATGTTGAGTTGGACCTTGGAAAAGGCTTGGAGGCGTCGTCACTGGCTGGGGGTTTGCCTGCTCGTAAGCCCAGCGTCTTTTTTATTAAACGTGGTGTAAAGAAGCCTGTGATGCCAGACCACCCACCCCCAGCAGTGCCACTCCCCCCACCCCCACCCCCATCGTCATTACAAAGGTTCCTCTGTGCAAAGCTCCCCCCATAGCACTTGGGCGGCACCAGGTTCGCCTCTTGCTGGGCAGGCATGAAAGAGAACCCATCGGCATGCTGCAGAGAAGCAACAGATGAGAAGTTACCCGTGAGCTCATATTTCTTGTGGGGCTGATTCTCCATTTCTCGGAAGGAACTGCTGCGTTTGGGGGGTGTGGGAGCATTCCTCTTTTTCATGAAGGAGCTGAAGAAGCCTCCTTTCCTATCCCTGGTGAAGCAGGTCTCTTTGGCATCTTCCAAGAGGCTGCTGGGGGACTTGTCTCTCTGCTTTCGAGGCAGGGCTGGGGACCCGCTGGGGGCCTGTGCACTTCTGATGAACCCTGCTGAGAAACAGTCACTTACTCATGTGAAAGAAGGGAATCCATTTCACCTAAGCTATTAAGGCTCAACTGTTAAGAGTCCTGTTAGCATCTATTAAATCTCAGGTGTGTGGTGGGACTGGATTAATGCATTAATGGATTAATGCAATACCACACTAGACTGAGTTGGTATTCTAAATCACTGGGGGCTGGGGGAGGTAAATGGGAATAAAAAATCTGCTGGTTATTACCTCAGCATCCATCTTTTCTCTAAAAGGTACAGCACAACCTGCCCATATCTTATCAGGCTCAAGGAAGTTTTCCCCAGCACTATATAAGCAGTAACTATTTGAAAATCAGGAGCTAAGGAGATGGAGCTAGAGGCAGAGCCAGAAGGTTAGATGAACACTGGCAATGGAGAGCCAATGATAGGTAAATAACTATCCCACCTTTGTCAGGATAGATAAGCATGAATGCTTATCTCCAAACAAGGCAGCCATCTCAGAAAGGTCTGCTGCGATGCTGCTTCCTGGGGACCTGTACCTGGCGCGGAGCTGGCGGCAGAATTCTCTGTGCCGTCGGGCGCCCCTTCGATGTTCTCCTTGTTCTCCACCTGCTTCTTCAAGGTCCGGATCTTAGAAGGAAGTATAGGTAATCGGGGCAGGTGTGGAACAACAGATGAGGAGGAGGCGGCTCTCCCAAGCTCCTCGGCTACCTCTGTTAGGAAGACAAGGAGACTTCTAAAAAACAATTTCATAACAGAGGAAAGGAGGTGTTTTTGAAGAAAAACTGAGAAGGAACTAGAGAACAGAATCTCAAAATATCTGCCTGGAACCTCAGAGAAGGTATCTGCTTTTGCGCCAACACTGCTGCATATTCACCCATGCTGTTGCACCTGACTGGTCTTTCTTTCCCATCACTGTGTGTGTCCTGCCTGCAACTACGCCGCCATTTGTTCTTTTGTCCTCATTGATGGATCTTGAGGTTATTTCCAGATTTGAGCAAGTATGCATAATGTTAGAAATATCCTTCTGAAAAAACAAATATCCTTCTACTTGTCTTTTAAGTAAATAAACCAAGGAGTGGAGACAGTTGGGTCTGGGTGCATTCCGCGTTAACGGGAATCATCAAACTGCCTTCAAAATAGCTGATCCAATTTACTCTCCCATAGGCAATGTGTATAAGCACGAGTTCTGGGTGGGCTATATGTTTGCCAAACTGGATGCCTTCGGGCTTTCTTTTCAGCCTTTCTCACAGGTATGTGACATTTTCATTTTCTGCTTCAACATGAGTGATGCCGAACAGGACTTCATGCTTATGGGTCAATTGACTGTCCTAGTTTACTAAATACGTACCAGTTCAAAGGTCGACCAAAGCACACAACACTGCAGACATTCTGATTATCAGGTTGCACTTTGCAATAAAAAGGACAGTAAACACAATCCATCCCAATTCATGAAGTTAAGTCTATTAAGATCCTGAAAAAAGTGTTCACCCATTATTATGTTCTTCTGGCTGAATATAACTTGGCCAAGAGTTTGGTGGCTTTTATTGAGGTAAAGGCATACTTTGCTACTCCTTCTTGGACAAAACTGAACCAGCTACAAGTCCGTTGTGACATTTTTGTAATTATTTTTTTTAAATTAAGTACGTACACCAGTGTGCACATGGCATATAACCCATGCTATGCCGATGAGATTCCTTTCCTGGTGTCTTCTGTGCATAGCACCTGGGAGACCAGCATTCTCTTGTCATGAGCTAGAAAGACATGGCCTTAGGAATGCTAGCAACTGTATCCCACACCATTTGGAGTAATCTGAGGAAAAGATGGACGTAGGAGAGAAATGAAGCACTGGATGGGAGTCAGCATGGGAAGGAATTCTTTCTCACTCTCCTTCCTGTTGAGAGGCAAGAGAAGGAGGAAAACCTAAAGCTACCACCGTCCCTGACTTCAACTAGTCCTGGCATTAGCAACCCCCTTATTTTCCCTCCGATTGGTTAGAAAGCCAAGAACAACTCCTTTCATTGCTTGCAGAAGTTTAAGTTGGGTCTCTTTCATGCACAACTGACTAATACACAACAATATATTAAAACAAGGACTTTGTCTTTTCTCTTAACCTACCGTAGTACTAGAGCACTGATGGCGTAGTGGGTTGAGATTGGACTGCTAACCTCAAGGCCAACAGTTTGAAACCACCAGCCAGCTCTGCAGGACAAGTAGCTTTGAAAATTGTTAAGGGATAGTTATCTAAAAGGATTAAACATCTTCCAAGAGCAGTAGACAAATATAAGGATTCAACAAGTTAAAAATTGACACAAAGTACCAAAGAAACAGGCACTGTTTTTTGGCTGATAGTCACGATTCCTAGCACTCTGGCTCCATAGGAAACAAGTACACAGTGGATGGAGGAGTGCCGGGGCAGGCAGCTGCTCGGGCAGGGGTCCACAGGGCCAGGTGGGCCCTCTCCAATCTACAACAGTTCCAGGCATCAAAGGACTAGGGTGGATTCAAGTTTCATTAAACGTTGGTATTGTACACCTCCTTTTCCTTTCTTCTTACCTGCTACCATCAATTAGTAGTGGAAGGAGACAAAAATGAACTTGCTTGATGTCACATGATTCTAAGAATTTGAATACAAGTTGTTAACCCTGAGTTCAGTTATGGGGAGCATTTGAAGTTTGAAAGAATGTTTACAAAAGTACAGGACTATCAAAGTGTCTGATGGGTAGGTGTAATTAGGAATTCTTTTACTTCTGCAGATAATTTTAGAGAAGAGACTGCCTGTATGTGTACATACACTGGTGTTTTAAACAAGAAAGGTGTTCTCTCTGTGCAGTTTGACTTAACTTGCTTATTCTAAACCTCTTTCCATGTATTGCATTTGAGAGTATTACTTAAATATTCAATTCTATAAACCTAGTGATGAATAGTCTGGGAGATATTTAAACGCTTTACCTTTTCAGTACTATAAAATACACACTGGTGCAATGCCCGTGTAGCTAATTACCTTTGTTCACACCAAAATAAACAAAAGCCAAACTCACTGCCATTGAGTTGATTCCAAATCATAGACCCTATAGGATAGGGTATACTGTCCCTTTGGGCTTCCCAAACTGTCATTCTATATGGGAATAGAGAACCTATCTTTATTCCTTAGCAGCTCAGTGAATTATTTTTTCCTTAAGATCGATTTCTAAATGTAATTTCTAGATACTTTTATGACTTGGTACCGCCTTTGTGGATGTGGTTCTGGGAGCTAGATTTAAAAAACAGCAGCAGCAACAACAAAAATCTACCAGACTTATTTTCTGTATTTTGGTCAGTCTTTTAGTGTACAGTTTCTAGTATTTATAAATCTACTAGATATGAGGTTGAAAGGCTACTACAATTCATTTTCCTAAAAGAAGAAAAACTGAAAACCAAAAACTAGTTTGGGCCAAAGTTTACAGAATAAATTTGTCTTGTGCGTGTGACATTGATTGTGATCTTGACCCGGGCAGCACTCTTCCTACTTCTTCTCTGGGTTCACTATTTAATTAGTCCTTTCCTAACCCTCTGCCTTCTCCAGCATCCCTGGACCTGATCTGCTGGCATCTTTTTCATATTTATTACTTCCTCTTCTTTCACCTACATCATGTGTTGCTACTTAAAGAATGAAATTACTAATTGTTTTTTTCTACTGAAGAGACAATTTCTCAACAACTCAAGAGCAACCTTACAGACAAAGTAGAAAAGCCTCATCTTTCTCCATGGGGCAGCTGGTGGGTTTGAACTGCTGATCTTGTGGTTAGCAGACTAATGCATAACCCACTTTGTCACCAGGGTTCCTGAATTAATTTCTATTAAGATATAATGTCAATATTAACGATACTCAATAGACACACCCACCCACAGCCGAACAAATAATTCACGACTGTTGCGTGGATTTCAATTCATAGCAATCCTATGGGATAGAGAACTGCCTCATCTTTCCTCCATGGAGCAGCTTTGAAGCACCCACCCTTTGATTAGCAGCTCAACATATAATTAGGGCTCCAGAGACATGAAGGCACAGTGGAAATGGGGGAAATAAAACTATTAAAGGCTAAAAGTTAATTCAGTATCTTGAAATGGAGTCCCAGGCTACGAGACCAACGTTCTGAAATGTTATTAAAACACACCACTCAGAACTAGCCACCAACAGTAAATTCACCAGATTCTTACCACAACTGATATTTTTAAAATTTGGGTGAACTGATTCAGTTCAAAGTGTTACTTCTTAGAAAACAAAGACAGTATATAAAATGGATAGCAACCAAATCTCTGCCAGGCCGAGTTTGAGCGACATGAAAACGAGTGTGCTCTGCTCAAGGATGGTCCTGCCAATGACCCAATGCCCCTGAAAAAGATGCATGACCTCTCCTGACTTCCCATTCCCAGGCTTTCGCATCCAATTTTCCCATGTTGGATCATTTTAAAATTTTCAGTCTGTTTCAGTTTTGTGTCATTGTCTATAACTGAACCAGCTCAACGCCCTGATTCCTACCTTCAGAAATACTGGAGTCATGGAACATGGTTTCAAAAGCTTGATGAGTTTCCGCAAAAGAAGGCCTGTCAGCAGGGCTCCACTTCCAGCCTGTACATAACGAAGAGTAAAACTTCTAAGAGAATATTCCAGCGGCACAGCTGATGAGGAGCTCAGTGCATCATATGCATGCTTGTTACAGCTCAGGCACCTTCACCAGAATAGCAACACAGCAGCTTCCCAGTTCCCGACTCAGAGCACACAAAACACATTTGTCGACATTGGTCCTTTTAGATATTAGCCTCCATTTCTGTTCCTTCTCTTACAGAAAGAGGAAAGGTTGGGAGACGGATAAAATGAAGGAAGTAGAAACTTGTCTAACTCACACTTCACTTTGTAAATAACCAGCTGCTTATATTCCGAGGCCAGAAAGAGGAATTTAGGGCTTTCATTTGCAAAACGCAGGGAAGAAGGGAAAGCCAATGCTCAAAAACAAAGTCATAACCCTGGGCTAAATGCTAAGGGCGTGCAATATAGTAGCAAGGGGATCAAAGCAATGAAGTCCCCAGGGAATAACAAAAATAGACTTTGGGACCAGGGTGTGGCACCCTATCAGACTTGACCTGAAAACACTCAAACAGCAAACAGTCCTGGAACTATTTATAGGCTTTTCTTTTTCTTTTTTGTCCTTAGTTTTGTTGTTGATTTTGTTTTGTTTTGCTCTGCCTTGTTTTGGTGCTTATTATTATCTCTGTCTGTCTAGATAAGATAGGCGGGAACAATCTGGAGGAGAAAACAACAGGACCCATGGTTCTAGGGAAGACATGGGAGAAAGGATGGGGAGGAGGGGGCAAGAAAATGGGTGTTTACAAACCCAGGGACAAAAAGGAACAAGTGTTCTAAAATGATGGCAGGAGGACATAGGATACCTGGTAGGGCTTGATCAAGGGAAAGTAACTGAGCGGAATTACAGAAACCCGAATAAAGGTTGAACATTGTGGTTGGAGGTGGGGGAGCCAGCCCCCCACCACGAATCACGGTTTCCCCGTTCGATAGGCACAATTGTATGGTTGAGATATATAAGTATTAAAGTCATAAAGAGCATGAGAGATAGAAGAGAG